GTGCTAAGCAATGATTAAACAAGAAGCAATGATTAAACAATCTACAAGGAATTAACGTGAGTTAGAAGATAGGAAACACTTGAAAAATCTGCTTACTATCAACCTGGCTGATTTTATAACACCATATGGGGATGGAGGAGCACATACTGACTTCCTTCTAAACAGTACAGTACACAAAGGTCCCCCCGCTTGCACCCCAAGAGAGAGAAACTCGATCAATACTGCCTCAGTAGGGGTGGTCAAGGCTACATATCACTGATGAGCCATGTACGTACCCTTGACGTGATACAAACAAAACGATACTTTACCCATGTGCTCTTCCTCCCAAAACGCTATGTCAGTCTAATCATGAGAAAAATATCACACAGATTCCAATTTAGAGACATTCTACAAAATACTTGACCAGCACTTCTTTTTTTTTTTTTTTTTGAGACGGAGTCTCGCTCTGTCGCCCAGGCTGGAGTACACTGGCGCGATCTCAGCTCACTGCAAGCTCCACCTCCCGGGTTTACGCCATTCTCCTGCCTCAGCCTCCCAAGTAGCTGGGACTACAGGTGCCCGCCACCTCGCCCGGCTAGTTTTTTGTATTTTTTAGTTGAGAAGGGGTGTCACCGTGTTAGCCAGGATGGTCTCGATCTCCTGACCTTGTGATCCGCCTGTCTTGGCCTCCCAAAGTGCTGGGATTACAGGCTTGAGCCACCGTGCCCGGCCTCGACCACCACTTCTTAAAACTGGCAAGATCATCAAACCAAAGTCATAGAAACTGTCAGTCTAGAGAAGGCTAAGGAGGCCTGGCAACAAATGTAATATAACAGCCTTCAAGCTTAACAGAAATGAAAAACTCAGGCACTTGAATGCTTAGCTGGTTAGATTTTCCTTCCCATCTAACTGCACATTATACTCTATAAGACCCAATCATATCTCCTAACATAACCCTCAGTTTTGCCTGGAGTCCAGTCAAAGAGAAAAAGCAGTCTAGAAATGAGTGCAGGCCGGGCGCAGTGGCTCACGCCTGTAATCCCAGCACTTTGGGAGGCCGAGGCGGGAAGATCACAAGGTCAAGAGATCAAGAGCATCCTGGCCAACAAGGTGAAACCATATCTCTACTAAAAATACAAAAATTAGCCAGGTGTGGTGGCAGGCACCTGTAGTCCCAGCCACTTCGAGGCTGAGGCAGGAGAATCGTTTGAACCCGGAAGGCGGAGGTTGCAGTGAGCCGAGATGGCGCCACTGCACTCCAGCCTGACGACAGGGCAAGACTCAAAGAAAAAAAGAAAGAAAAAGAAAAAGAAATGAGTGCAGATAGCAGGTTGAATAGCCCTGTAAATGAGAAACAAACCCCAGTGACAGCAGGGAGGACTGGGTCACAAGGCAAAAATAAAACCATGACTAAAAATGAACTGGAATTCAGAACCACTTAATATAAGGGCAAACAAAACCAACTGAAAACAAACTTCAGTGGCCCTAGGGACTCATCAGCTTACCGCTCAGTACCAAAACTAAATTCCATAATACTAAGTCATCAATAAAAGATTAAATGATGCCCAGTGTTCTGTTTAAGGATAATAGTGATAATAGTGACTTAAGAAAAACTGTTACAAAAAAAAAAAAAAAAAAAAAAAAAAAGATTATATAAAAAGATATAGGAGTCAATGTAAAGAGGCCACAAACTGCCCAAAAATGGGGCAGTTTGGGTATCAGTGTGGTAGGCTGAAATTTCCTCCACACACACACAAGTACGCACGACAACCAGGGAATATGTGAACACGGAATGGGTATTTGGTGATACTGTTAACTGGTTTTAGGTGTTATAATAGTATTGTGGTATGTTTACACATACCCTGAAATGTTTCCAAATGAAATCACAGATTCGTAGTTTAAAATCCTGGAGGAGGTGGGGGTTATAGGTGAGACTGGCCATACATTAAGAATCATGACATATGCAAGGTGGTGACTCTACATACTAATCTTTTTAAATGTTTAAGAAGTTCCATATGAAGATAAAACGAGGCATTATGCACATACACACACAATTCACACACACTTCTATTCATAAAGAAGATCATCATCTCTGGTTATTATCAGTTCCTTTAATATAAATAGCAATTGGTTTAGAATATTCTTAAGATTTTTATAATTTACATGAAAAAAGCCTAATGCAACATAAGACACCTCCTTAGAACCATATTTAATTATACCATAAAACAAATCAAATTCCCTATATACACCCTTCCCTTGATTGTAACATAGAAAATTTTAAAATGTAGATGTAATTCCTTATCTCCCTACACTTGGGTTATAAAAAGGTTACACACTAGCTATAAACTCTACAGTGGGGGTTACTTATCAGAAGAAAAGTTCTTCATAAATAAATAATAAAAACACAGGGTTATATTTTATTTACAAGGAAAGCTGGCTGCATTATTTATGAGCTTTTCCGAAATATCAAGGTCATACATAGAGACAGAACAGAATTTTTAATAAATAGCTATCTGCCTACATGTGGATGAAGGAGATTAATTTTATGTCTCAGGAAGGCAACACGAGAACCAAGAGGAAAGGGAAGTCTTAAGGATAGAATGCTGATGTTAATACTTGGGAGGGAACTCTTGATTAAAGCTACAGAAAACGAAATTGCCTATTTGTCAACTATTATATGAGAAGTCATAGCACATAACAGCTGACAGCACAGGTTCTGGAAATAAACTAGGGTTTGAATTCCAGCCCTCCCACTAAGCTGGTTCCTTCTCTCCATCTGTAAAAATGGGGACTAATAATAGGACTATCTTCTAGCATTGTATTAAGGATTAAATAATTCACAAATAGCTCTTCATGGAGTATCAGGCTATACACTGGTTCATTAAATTTTCAAACCAAACCATAAAAGAGGCATTATCACCCCAGTTATAGATGAAGAAATATTGTGAGATTAAGCCAATCTATTGATATACAGCTAGTAAGTGGCAGACCTGGATTCAAACACTGACCTGCCTCATTCCAAGGCCTAGCTAGATTTCCCCATGATTACGGGTGTTTAACAGAGGAGATTCATGAGTCACATAAGCAGAAGTTATAAACAGGTGTAATACCACCTCCTAGGGATGTTCTTCTTTTATGTAGTCGCACTGTTCATTTACATGTTGAAATCTGTAAGCAATCTGTATTACTAATTACTAATTATTTTCCTTTACAATAAAGGCATTATGCTGTTAAGGTTTTGGGGTTTTAAAAAAAGTCTTGTGTACAGTTTTGTATCAGAATGGTAAATGGGTATCCTAAAGCATTTTGTCATAAACCAGTGGTTCTCAACTAAAGGTGATTACACAATTTCACCACCAGGAATGTATCCTAAGGAAATAATAATAGATATGTGTTAAGATGTAATTGCAAGAATATTGACTGCAGCATCAGTTAAAATTCCAAAACATTTGAAAAAAGTCACTATCTAACAATAGAAAACTAACAAAAAGCTGGGTACAGTGGCTCATGACTGTAATCCCAACACTCGTGGAAGCTGAGGCAGGCAGATCATTTGAGCCCAGAGTTCAAGACCAGTCTGAGCAACACGGTGAAACCTCATCTACACAAAAAATACAAAAATTAGCCAGATGTAGTGGTGCACACCTGCAGTCCCAGCTACTCAGAAGGTTGACAATCAACTGACCACAGGAGGTCACGGCTACTGTGAGCCATGACTGCACCACTGCACTCCAGCTGGAGCTACAGAGTAAGACCTTGCCCCCCGCCCGCCCGCCACCCCACCAAAAACAAGAAAATAAAATTGACAAAATAAATTATGCAATAGCTATACAAGTTAAGATGAATCTTGAAAGGGAACATAAGTTCTATCAAATGTTCACAGAATATTCTCAATACTACTTAAACTGTCCTCAGCATAGTAAAACAATGAAATGCCTCCCATTTTACCAAGCTAGCATAATCAAGATACCAAAACCAGGCAGGGCATGGTGGCTCATGCCTGTAATCCCAGCACTTTGGGAGGCCGAGTCGGGCAGATTACCTGAGGTTGGGAGTTTGAGACCAGCCTCATCAACATGTAGAAACCCAGTCTCTACCAAAAATACAAAATTAGCCGGGTGTAGTGGCACATGCTTGTAATCCCAGCTACTTGGGAGGCTGAGGCAGGAGAATCGTTTGAACCTTGGAGGCGAAGGTTGTGGTGAGCCAAGATCGCCGCCATTGCACTCCAGCCTGGGCAACAAGAACAAAACTGTCTTAAAAACAAAAACAAAAACAAAAACAAAAAAAAAACAAAACGCAATGCAGTACCAAAATGGAAAACTACAAGCCAATCTCACTTATGAATATAATTGCAAAAATTCTCAAACCTTAGCAAATCAGATCTAGCTCCATACTAGAATAACAATCCATCACAACCAAGTTGAGTTTATCTAAGTGTGCAAAAACTAACATTCAGAAATCCATTAATGCAATCCGTTTTGTTAAACAGATCAAAGACCTGAGATAATCTCAGTGAATTTTAAAGAAAAGTAAAGCAATTAGAGAGGAAATAGCTATGAGAAATAGACTATCCAAAATAAGGATGATCCACGTGCCTGAAGTAGAGAACCCAACAAATGTAACTAAGAAAACAGTAGAAGATTTAAAGCAATAAATATTCCCAAAAGGAAATCAGAACTAAATCTACAAAAAATAATGATGTGACAAACAGGCCCACAGAGGAAGAAAGCAGAAAACAGAAGAAACTCCGATCTTTGACATTCTGGAGCAGTTTGAACCAAATTTAGAACTCTACATGTGAACGTGGAACGCAGAGAAAAACTGAACCCTTCACTTTTGAAGCAACGAGGGGGTTGGCTTTCCAGCCTTTCCAGCTGGTCTCAGATAGTTATTCCTGATACAAAAGAACATATAAAAACTTAATTGTATCAAAAGTATCAAATTTTAAATGTATGTAAACTTTGACGCCACAGGGATTTAGCAGAGGGAAGTATTTGACTAAATATTTAGACACATACGTATCAGGATGCTTGCCACAGTGTCGTCTGAAATAGAAAAAAATAAAAACAATATTTACTAATAGAGGATTAAACATATTATGGAATCCATACATTAAAATACTACTGTTACATACCATTAAAAATAACTTTTTTTTTTTTTTTTTTTTTTTGGAGATGGAGTCTTCTGTTGCCCAGGCTGGAGTGCAGTGTCATGATCTCAGCTCACTGCAACCTCTACCTCCTGGGTTCAAGCGATTCTCCTGCCTAAGCCTCCCAAATAGCTGGAATTACAGGTGTGAGCCACCACGTCTGGCTAATTTTTGTTTTTTATTTTTATTTTTTAGTAGAAACGGGGTTTCACCATGTTGGCCAGGCTAGTCTCGAACTCCTGACCTCAGGTGATCTGCGCGCCTCAGCCTCCCAAAGTGCTGGGACTACAGGTATAAGCCACCGCACCCGGCCTTAAAAATAACATTATTTAATAATACATCATGAACATCTCTTCATTTAAGCGGGAAAAAACATGCTATAAAGGTATTGCAATTTTCTATCAAATTTTTAAGTTTTTTTCACATATTTTAGACATATGAAACTCTAAAAAGACAATACCGTTTTCCCTCAGTATCTGAGGGAAATTGGTTCCAGGACCCCTCGGATACCAAAATCTGATGATACTCAAATCCATTACATATAAAACAGTGTGGTATTTGCATATAACGTATGCATATTCTCCCATGTACTTTAAATCGCCTCTAAATGACTTATAATACCTAATACAATGTAAATACTATGTAAATAGTTGTTATCCTGCATTTTTTAATTTGTATTTTTATTGTTTTATTGGTTTTTTATTTTCTTGAGACGCAGTCTCACTGTCACCCAGGCTGGAGTACAGTGGCGCAATCTCGGCTCACTGCAACCTCTGCCACCTGGGTTCAAGCAGTTCTCCTGCCTCAGCCTCCTGAGTAGCTGCGATTACAGATGCGTGCCACCATGCCCAGCTAATTTTTGTATTTTTAGTAGAGACGGGGTTGGTCAGGCTGGTCTCCAACTCCTGGCCTCGTGATCCCCCGCCTCAGCCTCCCAAAGGGTTTTTTCATTTTCCATCCCCAGATGGTTGAATCCATGAACGTGGAGCCCGCAAATACAGAGGGCTAACTGTATATCAGAGTGTTAATAAACTGTCTTTGCTGACTGTTCACTTTACGCTTTTTTGCATTTTCTTAATTGTCTGCAATGGGCAATATAAATTTTATCTGTAATTATAAAATAATTATAGAAAGAAAATTAATGACAAGCGCAAGATGTGGAAGATCTAACTTGACAAACAGCTCACACAGAAACAACTTAATTGAAATGATGTAGAAAAACATTGGCCACTGTTTAAAAATAAATTTAAACATGTAACAACATAAGTTATGAGCATCTATCTAATTGATTTTGAGACAGAGAACATCTTTGAAAATGTCAAAATATTATCAATAAGTTTGTCCAAGTGAAACGTTAGATTTCTTCATAACAAAAATTATCCCAATGGCCAGATGCAGCGGCTCACACATGTAATCCGAGAGCTTTGGGAAACTGAGGCAGGTAGATCCCTTGAGCCCAGGAGTTTGAGACCAGCCTGGGCAACAAAGGGAGATTCCGTCTCTACAAAAAATACAAAAATTACCAAGGCATGCGGGCATGTGCCTATAGGGGCCTCAGGAGGCTGAGGTGTGAGGTCAAGGTTACAGTGAGCCGTGATCACACCACTGCACTCCAGACTGGATGACAGAGTGAGACCCTGTCTCAAAAAAAAAATTACCCCAAAAGCCAGAATAAGACAAAGGACAAATGTGGACAATATCTGTAAATATCTGTAACAAATAAAAAACAAAGGCCAATATCTATGAAGACACATATATACAGAGAGAGATATATAGATAGTTTTTTTTGGGTTTTCCTCTGTTACTGTCCAGGCTGCAGTGCAATGGTGGAATCTCGGCTCACTGCAACCTCTACCTCCCGGATTCAAGCAATTCTCGTGCCTCACCCTCCCAAGTAGCTGGGATTACAGGCGTGCAACACCGCACCCGGCTAATTTTTATTTAGTAGACACAGGGTTTCATCATGTTGGTCAGGCTGCTCTCAAACTCCTGACCTCAAGGGATCCACCTGCCTCAGTCACCTGCCTCAGTCTTCCGAAGTGCTGGGACTATAGGTGTGAGCCACCACGCCCAGCAAATAATTTATATATATATCCCCCATTTTAATAAGAAAATGGACAAGGCACAGCGGCTCATGCTTATAATGCCAACACTTTGAGATGCCAAGGCAGGCAGATGGCTTGAGCCCAGAAGTTCAAGACCAGCCTGGGCAACATGTAAAAACCTTATCTCTACTAAAAATACAAAAACTAGAGAGGCATAGTGGTGCATGCCTGTAGTCTCAGCTACTCCAGAGTCTGAGGTGAGAGGATCACCTGAGCCTGGAAAGCAGAGATTGCAATCAGCCAAGATCGCACCACGCCACCAAACTCCAGCCTGGACCACAGAGCAAGATCTTATCTCAAAAGTAAATAAATAAATGCCAGGTGTAATGGTTCACACCTGTAATGCCAGCACTTTGGGAGGCCAAGGTGAGTGGATCACATGAGGTCAGGAGTTTGAAACCAGGCTGATCAACAAGGTGAAACCCTGTCTCTACTAAAAATACAAAATTAGCCAGGCAGGGTGGCACACACCTGTAATCCCAGCTACTCGGGAGGCTGAGGCAGAACTGCTTGAACCCAGGAGGTGGAGGTTGCAGTGAGCCAAGATCACGCCACTGCACTACAGCCTGGCGACGACGCAAAACTCAATCTCAAAAAAAAAAGTATATAAATTAAAAATGTATTAAGAAAGGGGTAAAGGACATGATGAGGCAATGCACAAAAAAAAAAAAAAAAAGGCCAATATATATTTTTTAAAACAATCAAAAACAAAAAAAAGGAAAAAAAATGAACAAAAGCCATTCATACTGAAACTGCAACTAAAATTAGTCAGATACCATTTTTATGCCTTGCCTATTGGCAAGAACATCTTAAGTCTATACTTCAAGTTGATAAGGATGAAGTGAGACTCACAGACATCGTCAGCACTAAGAAGAAGAAATGTAAACTAGAACTGGCTTTCTAGAAAGCAATTTGGCAGTATATATCAAAATGTCGTACTTCAGATCCAAAACAGTCTAGGAAATAAAGATGAGATCAAAGATTAATGTACAAGAATGTTGTTTCCTACGAAATTATTAATAGTGAGAATTTATAAATGATCAAAATGGCAGTAATAGTAAAATGATATATTTATATGATAAATTAGACTTATAACCACCTTTGAGACAGTATCGCTCTTTCCCCCCTAACCCTTTCGCTCTAACCCTAACCCTAACCCAGGCTGCAGTGCAGTGGCTCAATCTCAGCTCACTGCAAACTTCACCTCCCAGGTTCAGGTGATTCTCTCCTGTCTCAGCCCCTGGAGTAGCTGGGATTATAGGCGCACACCATCATGCCTAATTTTTGTATTTTTAGTAGAAACAGAATTTTGCCATGTTGGCCAGGTTGGCCTCAAACTCCTGACCTCAAGTGATCCACCCACCTCGGACTCCCAAAGAGCTGAGATTACAGGCATGAGCCACCGCAACTGGCCAAAACCACTATTAAAAAAAAAAAAAAAAGAAAACTTACAACACAGGGAGACTGTTCACATCATAACCAAATGAAAACGGCAGAATGAAAAACCACATGTGCAATATGATCAATTGTTTTAAAATATTTTTATGTGTAGATATAAAAATTTAAAATGTAGAATAAAAAAATACTCTAAACGATAGAATTATGTGTAAGTCTAGTTTTCTTTTTTTTGAAATGCAGTCTCACACTGTTACCCGGGCTGGAGTGCTATAGCGCGATCTCGGCTCACTACAACCTCTTAGCCTCCCAGGCTCAAGCAATTCTCCTGCCTCAGCCTCCCAAGTAGCTGGGATTACAGGCGCCCACCACCATATCCAGTTAATTTTTTGTATTTTTAGTAGAGATGGGGTTTCACTCTGTTGGCCAGGCTGGTCTCGAACTCCTGACCGTGTGATCCGCCCACCTCGGCCTCCCCAAGTGGTAGGATTACAGACGTGAGCCACCACGCTCAGCAAGTCTAGTTTTCTTTTACACTTTCTTTGTACTTTATGATCAGAAAAGAAAATTGGAGCCTTAATTTTGCCTTTTTAAAAATGATCAAAGTTTACTAAGCTAAAACTCACCTGAGGGATAGCTAGAATGAAAATAGTCACAGCAACCCGGATTCTAGGCAAGTTATTAAATTTGTATAGCCTCAATTGTGAAATAATATTATCTTTAAAGAATTAGAAGGATTAAAAAATATAATTAACGCAGCCAAGTGTGGTGGCACACACCTGTAATCCCAGCACTTTGTAGGCTGAAGTGGGCAGATCATTTGAGGCGAGGAGTTCAAGACCAGCCTGGGCAACATGTCAAAACCCACTCTACTAAAAATAGAAAAAAATTAGTCAGGCTGGATCATGAGCACGGAGTAATTCCAGCTACTCCGAAGGCTGAAATGAAAGGATCACTTGAACCCAGAAGGCCGAGGTTGCAGTCAGCTAAGATCACGCCACTGCACTTCAGCATGGGCAACAGAGAAAGATTCTATCTCAAAAAAAAATAATAAATATTATTATTTAAATTAATATGCATTTTTTAATGCATTAATTTATCTTAATTGTAAAGATGTTTGTTAACGATATATGCTCTCTTGAGCTTATAAACACAACAGATATTTTTTAAGTCCTTTTTTTTAAACAAGAGAGGTAAGCACAGTGGGTGGACTTAACGTACTCATTCCAAATTTTATCTGAATGAAAAAATACTTAATAATCATCAAGGAAATTCTAGTAAATGAATAATGAAGGATACCTGGATCTTCCTTTTTTTTTTTTTTTTTTTTTGCCCAGGCTGGAGTGCAATGGTGCAATCTCAGATCACTGCAACCTCCACCTCTCCTGCCTCAACC